CCCCAAAACCCCAAAACCCCAAGTGTAAGTATAGTAGTTATACTTGTTAGCCTTTAATTAATATCTAATTTTAAATTAATACATAAAAAAGAAACAAATATATATTCATCGAAACATAATCGACACTGTTTTAACATTTAATTTATCCCAATCACAAATCCTATATGCAATCTAAACCACCAATACTCTTAACATTTTTATTATGATGTGTTTTTGCATATAATTAGGAGCCTTGATCCACTCTAAGATGATTACGAGCGGACTGGCAGGCAGTACTGGGTATAGTGGATCTGCCAGATTACCCTGTCTTCAAATTTCTAATTGAAAAATATCCCTTCAAAGTAGACATTTATTCTCTGTTTAGTGGCTATCTTTCACTTAACTAGGAGAAAACGGCAGGTCTCATCTCTTGATGCGTTAAATTGTCATTGAATTAAGTGACAAATAATTTATTATCATCATTCTAAATTCCAGATCTAGTAGTCATGGGACTTTTGATCCGATTCATAGTTTTTTATTGTAGCTGATTATGTGTTAAATTCCTTCGATTCAGACTCTCTTTTATCACATTTTGAATAAGCATCTTTCTGTTCTTTATTATTTATTGCTTTCTTTCCTTTTCGTCTAGAATCCATTCATATTTTCTAAATATTTATTTCAGTTCTTCAGTTCTTTCTTTTTTCTTCATTTTAGTAACATCAACTAATTGGTAAAGATCTGTATTCATTTTTCTCTTCATAAATTCTGCCTATTCCTTATTAATAAACTAAACGAAATTTTTCTTGTTGGCACTCATTAGTTCAGGGTAATAAGTCTGTACTGCTGCCTCTATCTCATTACCTAAGTTTACATTATCTATTCCTAAAAATCTTCTTGAATTTTTATGGGTTTATATCTTATTATCTTGAATCTTTTCTGCTTAATTAAAGAAGTATGTCTGGTTACTAGAAGCGATTTTGGGTTCTCTTTCTTTTATCTCATTGGTTCGCACCAGTCTAAATTAATGTGTTTCTTGAAGGAGCTTGATTATTTCTTTGATATGAATTTAGTCCATTTTACTTTCAGTAGTAGTGCCCTTGACATATTTCCTGATGTTGTTATCCTCTGTTTATTAGTTTTTCTTCTGAATAGCAAACTTTCTTGAAGCTGTGCCTGTCCATGACTTGGATTACTTATGCGAAATAAATCTGCTATCATTTCGATCATTTGTGACGATTCCAAACGGTTAGTTCAGTAGAGAAGAAAAATAGTTGTAGTCATCTCTCGTGATTTCCTGCCTTGGAGTATGTGTAATGATGTCCTTAAGTATATGTGTGTTATTAGATGCGATGATTTTAATCATATCTCGATGCATTTATTGTTCGCTGGAAATATTTGAAATTGAAGACATTTTGAGTATATTGATGATAATTTATCTATGATAGAAGTCTATTTTAAATTTACTTAATTCCTGATAAAATTATTAATTCCACAAAAATATTAATAAAATGCTTTTAACATAAAAATCACTCATTTTGTAAAAGAGAACAATCTCCTCTCTCTTGTTCAGAACTACTAAAGTTAGATAATTCTCAACCTAAGAGGATGCAAAATAAAGAGATGAGGACTCGAATAAAATCAGGGATTAAATCTTGAAAGCTAGTTTGGTTCATGCAAAGAATTATGGCTTTAATGATTAATGCATAGTGGCTGCTTGTAAAGATCTAGGCTATACTCCAGTAATAATTCTATTTTTTATCATCAACTCACCGTTAAACTCGTATATTTTTAGGTAACAGCAGGAATATTAAAGAGAGGACCAATGGATGTTGTGGATTATACTATGGAGTTATGGTTTTAATAAATGAAATAAGATTTGGAGAAAGCAAACTTATAAGAGTAATTCTAACCATAGATTAATATAATTTAACCTTGGTATTTTTTGTAGGATGAACGTCACATCTAGGATATAAACTGGAATTAAAACTAGACTTTCATATGTGGTTCCTTATCTTGATAAATGGCCACAAGCCATGTATCTAGGCATTGATCCAAAGAATCTTGGGAACACAGTTTAGCATATTCACAAAATTAGTGATGAGATATGGTTTTAGGCTGGTGATAGGGCAGTAGATGTAATTTTGCGATCTAATTTTATTGAATACAGTATTCTTGGTATACAAAAAGAGGTCTTTTATCAACTGTTTATGTATCAACTGAACTATTTATGGTAGGAGATAAATCTAAGAATCAAGAGGCTACTTGGGAATTCCTTGATAGAAGATTATAAGATGTTGTGACAACAGGCTCATAGATTGGTCTAGTAATCAGCCTTTCTTTTCATACTTTTTTAATAGGCAAGAAACTTATTAAATGCAATGACAATAGGGGTTAATAGTATAGGAACGATATTTAAGCCGTATAAATTTGATGATTCAGAGATGAGAAGACTGCAAAAAGAGCAATAGGAAAGAATTAAATAAGAGTAGGAATAAAAATAAGAACAGTAGTAAAATAAATGAGTATGTATCATCAATTTTTTAATGTAAAAAGCTGATTTTTTCATAGAATATTTTTACAATTTTCCGAAATCTGAAAAATAAAAAAATCGGGGTTTTGGGGTTTTGGGGTTTTGGGGAGATCGGAAGA